AAGATACGGGATAGTTCTAGAAACGTGGCGTCACTGTAGTCATGTGACTCGCTGACGCAACAATATGTTATGCAACGGAGCTTGTGTCTTTTTTTATACACTATAAACACAGTTTTGTTTTATTTTACTTTTTACTGAACAAGAATCCAAAAAGAAGTAAAATTGTTGTCAATGTTTTTATGTGGACGTACATACAGTTGAGCAATAGTGTTCAGCTGTCACCATATATACCGTTAAAATATACAGTTTAACTTAAGAAAAATTCCAGAGCAAAACATAACATACCATAATCTGGTCAGTCACTTCTGGAAAACACATGCTGCATTCTAATTTTGTTTTGTCGTTAACTGGCACATTTAACAACGATTACGATTATAACCTTTTGAAGGGAAGTAAAGAAAAATATGCATGGAAAAGTACAGTAATAGTTGTTTAGGGAGACCCAAATGCGTGACTTTACCTGTAAATAGTTTGATTTTAAGAAACGAGCAGTAAAGGCAACTGTTGCTCGATAATGATGTGGGAGTTACTAAAACTTCAACATAAACTACCTTTATCCTTCAACGTCAAACGTACTTATTAGCAGCATCATGTAAAGTTTATATATATATAAGATTTATTTTGTCAAGCCCACGTAAGAAGGCTTCAATACAGGAACAAATAATGTAGAAAAAATTCAGTTATCAGGGTACAAGAGTGTTTACTTTAATAGCTTTGTATCCTTTAACGACAGCTGTTTGAAACGTAGGATATTGTTTTAAGTTATAGTTTAATTTAGATGTTTGTTTGCCAGAGAGCACATAACGTTATGAAAAAGAAGTTTCAGGTAATAAGTAGAAAACGCGTATAATATAAATACGAGATTCAATGAAGCAGTTAACTAGTGAGTTATTGAGAATTTAGTGAGCGATTCAGTTCAATACTAATGAGATTTAATGTGATTGTTAGCAAGGGAATTTTGTAAGTAAGTTTATTTGTAAGTTAGGCATATATAACATTAGTATCACAGTTTTTATTGAAATTGTTTGTGAAATTTGGGCCTTCAACTTGTATCAAAGTTGAACATATCCTGCAGTAAACATTATTAAAGAAATAAATAAATTCATTATTGTTATCTGGACTGGATTTTGCACTTTTTTACTAAATAATCCAAAAGAACTTGCCCAATGATAGAGCTCATCACAACAATATATAATACTTGAACAGTTTAAAACTTACCTCAATTACATTCAGATTTTTACAAATTTATTATTGTTATTTGTCATTATTACTTTGTACAGAAACAGTGAATAATGATATTACATAATAGAACATTGTTAAAATTGTAAAATGAGAAAACAGTATTTGTCTAAGTTTATTTGTATTGTGAAATGAGTCAAACATGTTATTTTCATAGTTAAAATCAAGTGTAAATTAGATCTCCTAATCTATTATAGAGTGCATTTATGTATTTATCTGTTATTGCCTAGTTCTAAGAAGAAAAAAAACATAACAAGGGACCATTTAGCCCTTCACGGCTGTCCTTGCACGCTCACCTTTGAGAAAAGTAAAATTTTAAACAAACTCTTTACTTCTCTGGAAATTATCATTTCTTAAACTCCTGTAAGGTGTTGGCTTTGACTACTACTGACAGCAACTCATTTTAGAAAAAAAAACAGTCTTAAATGGAGTCTAGCCTGTCTTTTTGTAATCTTGAATTTGTGTTCTTTAACCCTATTCTCTATATAATGTAGCAAAAAAGAAATCAGACCATTATATTATTGTTTCACCAGCTAATTTTTTGAACTTCAATAAGGTCTCCTGTTACTCTTCTTTCATCAAGATAAAATGAGTTAATTAAGAAATCTTAACCTAGCTCCATAAGATAATCATTCCATCCTCAGAATCATCTTGGTAGCTATAGCCTTCATCTGAACCACTTCCAATAAATCAATATTCCTTGTTAGATAAGAAGACTGTAACTGTACACAGTATTCCAAGTGAGACCTGTATAGAGAGATAATTACATCTCTTAACTTTTAATCAATATTTCTATAAGTATACCCTTAAATTTTATTACCTTTACAATTAGCAACAGAACTCTGAATCAGTGACCTGAGTGACTTGTCCCCACTATTACTAGAATCTTTTCTTTAGTCTCGCTAATGAGTTGGTTCTAATGTTAAGTGTGTGATACAAGTTATGATAGCCTAACACTTACAATAACTAAAGGTCATTTGTTAAATATTTGTCTAACTTATTGATTAATCAAAGTAATTTTGTAATACCTTTTATAATACATTTTGTAATATAGCTAGAATTACCCAACAATTTAAAGTCATTAGTAAAATTTAGAAATTATGCTCCTATCAGTATCATTAATGACACTAAATCCCCAAAGCACCCCACTATTAACAAGGGTCCAGTTTGATTGGACTCCAATAATAACAGCCTTCTACTTTCTTCCATCCAAACATCCTGCAATTCCATCAACTAGGGCACGTCTTCCTAAACCCTAATAGTTTGATTTTTGTAGCTAATCTTTTGTATGACATCTTAATAGCATCCACACCCTTTCCTTCCTCAAGATAACAAATAACATCCTTGACATACAATAAAAAATCAATAAGGCAAAATTTCTGTTTGGTGCTAGTAGCAGTAATGACATGAAATAGGTTGTGAATCATAGAAACAGTTAAAATAATATTAAATGTTTTGACTATTTATTAACATGCTGAGTTCTGTGCTAGTTTGTTCTTCATGAAGAATTTAAAATGTCATGTACAGTGCATTTTATTGTACTACAAGTATGTATTATACAAAATGCTATAATGCAAAGGTACTGTTTGAAAATGACTTCTAATGACAATATATTTTTATTATCAGTGAGGTAAACACAGATGTTTAATTTTCAACTCCAATATATTAGATATGCTGCCATAGTTGTTCTAAGTATTTTACTCCTCTAACTTTTCTTTGTTCATGGCCTATATAATTTTTTCAAAAATTTAAATTTGAGAAATTTTAATAATATTTATTTAAATTGCAGTTCCCCTAAAAATGGTAATACTTGTACTGAAAGATTTTTCAAATAACATGTTTAGTTTGAACAATAAAACTTAAACAACTTTGTTTTGTTTTAATGAATATTTTATTCTGACTTTTTTTTGTATACATGCATGTGTGTATGTTTGTGTGCATTGTATATTTTTATTCTTGTACAATTGAATAAATTCATTGATTTACTTCTTGCCTAGCTATGAAATGGCCTCAGACAGAGGGGCCAGATCTTTACGACTGTCGCATGAGACACTGGTAAGCCTTGCAGTGTTTAATATTCACTTATGGTGTATTAAATCAAATAAAGCATCAAAGGATTAGTAGTTACAAAAAATAACACAGTTGATGAACTATAATGTCTTTCTGAAGAAAAATTGTAAATAAATAACTAAAATATCCTTATGTATCTCATGTACAACACTAAATTAACCCAAGCAACTTGCTTGCAGTAATCTTCTGTTTCCCTTTGTCAGTGCTAGATATACTTTATATAATATCTACTTTTGCCTCTGGTTTTGAGGGATCATACATTATGTGTGTGTTATTCATAATGAAAATGATGTTATTGTCATTAAATTTTGGTTAAGCCTCTGATAGAAACTTCATTCATGTATTTTGTATCCGACTATAGGTATGTCCAGACTGCAGCTTCAGCCAAAGATGTAGTCATATTGTTAGATGGAAGTGGTTCTATGACTGGATTACGGAAGGAGATTGCAAGAAATGTTGTTTTCAGCATATTGGACACACTAAGTGACAACGACTACTTGTCAATTCTAAGGGTAAGAACAAGATATTTAATCATGGTTAAACTATATCTGTAAAAGGTTTTATCACACATAGGAAGCTTAGGTGAATTAATATCACAAAATAAAGCTGAAATATTCCACAAATGTGTGTGTAATTTAGTGATTAATGCTTGTAAGGTGGAATTGTGAAGTACTATTTTTATTCAGGAATTTTGACATTTAGTTGATTATTTTTGAAAAGTTTTTCTCGTGTGTGATAATGTGTAAATAACAGGTTTGTATCACTAGCCAATAATTGTACAAGAGTGAGACTCAAGAGAAGTAAAGATCATAAATAATGTGTATAATTTCAGATTATTCAAAAAGAGAATGAACATACGTATACATTTGCACAACTGTGCAATACTGTATCTGCACAAATAATAAAAGCTCAGACTCAAAGAAGGAATTTGGTGGTCCAATTGCTTCATGATTATCTCTACATCTAAGAACTTCCAGAAATATTGTTTTACATATTTTTATAAAACTTTTCACTTAACATCAAATTTAATAAAAGGATATTAGAGAGAGAATTAATTAAACTGATTGAATTACAGTAAAATGTTAACATTCAAAAAGGGAACCAAAAACCAAAACTCAATTGTTAGTTTATTAAGAGTGTTTACTGACATAGTGACTGTATATTAAAGTTAGTGTACTAACTGTTCACAATAATTCTTCAACCTAAAAAGTAAAAAGCACTTTGTTGACAAATAGTGTGCATCCTTGTAGCTCAGCAGTAAGAGTGAAGGCTAAAAACTAGGCTTCGATACCCATGGTTGGCACAGCACAGATAGCCTATTGCGCAGCTTTGTGCTTAAGAACAAAGAAACAAACAGTCTAATAGAGCATAATCTTTACCTTAACTTGTTAGTGATATAAATTCATGATGATGGAGAGTTAGTTGTGGTTTTAAGTATCGTGAAATGAAGCATAAGGGGTATCTAAATGGCTGTCATATTTTTTTTATTGTGGCTAAAATCTAGTGAAATTAAGCACCTATATGGCTGTTGCACTTGGTTTCTCGTGGCTGAAGTTTAGTGAAATTGACCATCAGAGATATCTTAATGTCTGTTATATCTGCTTTGTTTATGGCTGGGATTTTGTAAAATGGAGCATATCCAAGCATTAGCTGAGCTTAGAGTGGTTCCATTGTTAATGTCATATTTAAGTAGTTTGATATAATTTTTCTGAACGTAACTATGACAGTAAGTTTTTAAAAAATCTAGATACCAATGATAGGAGGTTCTCTGAGAAAACTTTATAATTTAGAAAAAGAGAGAAATTATCATCATGTATGTTATTTAACCACTTTGTTGAATGTGAAATAGGTCTAGTCATGTGCGTAGAGAATCACTGGTTAAAATTATAGTGATTGATTTTGAAGTTGTTATTTTCATTTTGTAGATTTGAATTATTTTTTATAATCTTGATGACAAACTTGCTGTAGACTTTTTAGTCTAGGAGAACAAAATGTTTATGATTTTAATGTCTCAGTTTTCAGATATCATTGAACCCGTTGTTCCGTGTTTTGAAAATTCCTTGGTGCAAGCCAATGAACAGAACATTCGAGTAAGCTTACGTTCTTCTGAAAGATGTTTTCTCCATATCAAAAAATAATTCATAATATTCTATAGTGAAAATATATTGTCCTTGAGACACAGGGAGAAACTTGAGTATTTTATCACATATATGTTACATATTATGTGAAACTTGACATGATTTTGTATCATTATAAGCATATCTAAGTCACTGATGACCTTTCCACATTTTTACAACAGGTACCCGAGAGTGATTTAATTATGTGTTGCATCCTTAGAATTTGTTGTGTTGGTATTGCACAAAACAGTTTACTGTGTAATTATTATAATTTGTTTACTATATGAAAGTGTCTAATACCTATAAATATTGTTTTGATAAAAAGAAAAAGTGGGTGATTTATATGTGAACTTATGTGTACTTTATGCAGCCAGTCCCAATGTGTGTAGGATTAGAAACAGAAGGATGTTCATGTGTGAATTCACAAACCCAGCATTTTGACTCTTTTTATCTAGGTTTTGAAGTGATGAGATGGATAGGCTAGGAGTAGTAATTGTTTGCTAGAGATTATGCCTTGTTGCTGGGGCCAAGAAAAACAATCCAATATTCATTGTTGTTGTTGTTATAACCAAAACAATGTTTGATTTATAATGAGATTTTGTTTTGCCTTTTACTATGCAAATGTAGATCAGATTGAAGATAATTTATAGATCATTGTATTTTTGTTTTGAGAACAATATTTTCCTCAAATCACATTCATTACTTTCTGTATTTTTCACATTTTTTCTGTATTTATTCTGATTCTTAAAGAACTTGACCATTGCATCAGGAATGGTAATCATAATTCTAATCTTTGATAGCTATGTGTATGAATTATCATCATCAGTTGTGTTTTTCCAAATACGATCTTTCAAGTTTATTTTATTATCTCTGTAATACAGCATTCTTGAAGCTAATAGCTTCTCTACACCAAGAATCTTTGGTAATCTCCCTCTGCTGAATTTTTTTCTTATTTTAGGAATTGAAAGAACATCTGGAGACCTTAGATACCAGAAACATTGCCAATTTTACTCTTGGCTTGGTGACTGCATTTGAAATATTACAAAAGGTAGAAATCATTAGATGAATAACATACTGGCCCATGTATTAAAGAGAGACCTAACATGATTATGACATTACAACACTACATTGCTAATACTGAAAGAGAAACTGAAAAATGTCTGTATACATACATTAGCTATTTCCAGAAAATATAATTTTCACATTCTAATTAATAAGCAAATGTATTATCCCTTTCGGTTAGTTTAAATGAGTAAAACATTTTTTTTTTAGTACAACCGGACTGGACAAGGGAGCCAGTGTAATCAAGCAATAATGCTGATTACTGATGGTGCCCCCTATACCTATGAAGAAATTTTCCGTCAGTACAACTGGCCAAATATTCCGGTGCGTATTTTATGCTTCTACTTTTGAGGTAATAGCAGATTACATAAATACAGTGTAAATGTTTGAGCAGTTAGAGAAATCAACATTGATCAAGATTTTGTATTTTTATGTAAAATGTACATTAGATAAATGTACTGAAGTGTGAGTTTCATGACTTTTTTTTTTTTTTTTTTGTAGTGGGGGTTAAAACTCATGTAAGCAGTTCAATTAAATTAACACAATGTGAACTGCTGTAGATGTTTCTGGGAATTTCTAAGAACCAGTTATATCTATCACTAACTCTCTCCAGATGGATCATTCTTGGTGTTCACAAACTGAAATTTTATAAACCTTAGAACATTTAAAATTTTTTATGGGACATTTACATTCAGATATTTATTTTTGAATATCATAATAATGTTATATATATATAATGAACACAATATTCATAAATCATGATGTTTGGCTGTCTAATAGTGATGGTAGAGTACTTATTCTATCACGATGTGTTTGAATAAAAACTAAATATTTTATGATTGATACCTGAAACCGTCAGTACTGTTTGTAAACAGGTTTATATGTATGTTTATCCAAAGAACCAGAAGTAATCTTGACATTCACCTTGAGACAAGTGGGATCAGAAGTGGGGAGGAGCTTGCTGGTTTGGTGGTTTAGAACTTTTTTCTGGATTTGTTTTTAGGCTTCTGTTTATTTCTAAAATCCCCAGGCTACTTAGTTTTTTTACCTTTTTCACAGATATGCAAAATTTTACAGTTTGTTTCAGGATCAAATTGATGGTTAGTTTCAATAAGGTCTGATGCAAAATTCATTTTCCTTAAATTCATGCTTCTAGAATGTTCTTTAATTCTTGTTTCTATGGAGTATCCGGTTTGACCTATGTATACATTATTGCAGTCTTGTTAACTGGTAAACACCACTGTTGCTGTACATCTTGATTTTGTATTTGTTGTTGCGCAATATTTTGCCTAGACTCTTTGTACAGTAGAAGGCCGGTCTATAGATTTCTTTGTTCAGTGTGTTATACATTTTGTGAGAAGGTTTTTTCAATGTAGCTTATCTTCAAACCTTTTTTTTTTGTCATCATTTGGTACAGTATGTGGGTATATTGATTTTAAGTTTATGGCTTTTAATTTTTAAACAACAATTGGTACAGTGATAAGCCTCACAAACTTGCTGTGTTCCATAGTTTGTTACACAGACTTATCACTTATCACAGATGTTCCATGGATAGAAATGCTAGCAGGATAAGTTAATGAAATGTACATATAACCGCTTTGTAAAATAGTTGTGTCATGACCACAAATTTCAAATTAGGTAGGGGTTTATTTCTATTAAGTGGGAAAAAAATCTATATTTTGTTACATTCATGTGTGTATGTTACTATCTTTGTTAATTTTTGTTATATTGGACGGTATTTTACAACCATGTATAGTCTGATATTTTGATTAAACTTGACTGATACGAAATGTTATAATTCCTTCATTTTGTTGTTCTCTAAATTTATTAATGTAACAAAGTTGAATAACAAAAGATCTTGCAGTATGAGTGAAATAAATTAAATTTTTTTTTTTTATAACTGAATTTGTTCTAAATATTTTGATAGGTTCGTGTGTTCACCTACCTCATTGGTCGAGAAGTCACTGACATTAGGGAAGTGAACTGGATGGCTTGTGCTAATAGAGGTAAGTAGACAAAACATTTCATTGTTGAAAGCCTTTTTTTCAATGATTTTCATTGCACCACAAAATATGGACTTGTAACTTTAGCATTTTATAACAATTTAAAGTTAAAATTTCTTTTGTTATTTGAGTGGATAAGAATTTATTTTATTTAAAATAGGAGACATTATGAATGGTTCTAAATATTCAGATGGCAAACGACATGAGAATACATATTTTTGTCATATGACCATCTCTGGTAAATTGACATGAAACAGAGATGTCTGGTTTTTTGAAATAGTTGCATACAGATTGTATCAACAACAAATAAGTTACTGGCTATTTTATTTTTTTTGCAACTACGCAGTAAGCTTACAAAAAACAGAAACTAATGGCCAAGAGACTTGTTTTCAATTATTTAATAACTAAATCAGGAAAGAACAGAAACTAATTGTCTTGTGACATATTTATAACCATAGTGTAAACCACAAAGAAACAGAAACTTAAAGGTATGTGACTTTTCAACTTTTTAATAATTAAATAAAATAACAGAAACTAATGGTCATGTAACTTGTTTTCAAGCATTTAAGAAATGAATAAGAAAGAGAATTAAATTAATGGTCATGCAACTTGTTTTCAAACAAAAAACAGCCATTTGAAAAATCAATAAGAATGTCTTGGGTGTTGCTAGCTGTGAAGAGGATGCTGGTGATTTACAAAAGGATTTAGATCATTTAGTCATTTGAGCAAATAAATGGCAGATGGGTTTTAATTATAATAAATGTAAGATAATGCATGTGAGTTATCATAATTTGAATTCTAAGTATAATTTGGATGGGAATAACCTTAATAGTGTTATGAAGGAAAGGTATCTTGGTGTAATAGTCAATCAGTCTCCAAGTAGTGTGCTGTTGCTAGTGGTGGGGTAATTAGGATTTTAGGTTGTATCTGCAGAAATATTGAATACAAGTCTAAAGAGATTATAATTTCAGGTCACTGGTTAGGCCATATTTGGAATATTGTGTTCAGTCTTGGGCTCCTTACCTTAGGAAAGACATTGAATTGTTGGAAAGGGTTCAGAGAAGGGTTACTAGAATGGTTCCTGAGATAAAGGGGTTGTCATACAAGGAGAGGGTGAAATCTCTCAAATTGTTTTCTCTTGAGAAAAAAAGAGTTAGGGGGATCTGATTGAGGTGTTTAAGATTGTAAATGGAACTGATAGTGTTGATGCATGATCTTTTTTCATATTTAACAGTGAGAATAATAGGACTAGGGGACACGAATATAAATTTTGGCAAGGTAGGAGTCATCTTCAGCTAAGACAGTTTCATTTTTCTAACGGGGTGGTTGGCCTTTGGAATGGGTTGCCTTGAGATGTAGAGGCAGTAAGTTTAAGTGACTTTAAGAAAAACTTCATAAGTATATAAATGATAAGGGCTGGCTTTAAGATTTTTTTTTTTAATTTTTGTAATTTAGTTTAGAGGATAAAACAGCCAAGAGAACCAATAGGTCTCATTTTGTCCCAAAACATTATGTTATGTTAAGTTGCCTGTAAATAATGACAATGCTGTAATACTGATCACATAAGTAATTTGTATTCCCATGGAAAGTTTGAATTTTCACAAGATATTTTTCTCTATTTTATTTTTCTTAGGTTATCAACAAAAATATCACATTCCTGTATTTTGTTTTTCACGATACATGTATTTAGTAGTAAATAATGTTTTATATGATGATTTATTAATTGTTTGGCTTAGGCAAGAAGTAAAAGCATTCTAAATGATAAATATTTTGGTTCTGTGTTCAACAGAAATAGTTCTAAGTGTGTAATTTATTTCTGCTTTCATCATGATTGATGAAAGCACTGTCATCTATAAGTGAATTTCATAAACTTTACGTTTTACACAGGCTACTATACCCATGTGGCCACACTGGCAGAAGCTAGAGAACAGGTTGAAGTAAGTAAATATATTTAGTATGTTAAGTGTTCCCTTTCCCAATAAAGATAAAATTTGATTTTTTTAACGATTTTTTAATTTCATTGTTTCTAGCCCTAAGACTCGTATGTTAAAATATGGAAGACCTAAGTTTTTCAATAAGATATAAAAGTGAAATTGAACAATTATTGTGAATAAATTCCATGTTCAAGTGAGATTAACAGGCTATTCTAGTGCTTAGTTTCACACTAAACTACAAATAATATTTTTGTAAAATACAAATAAGTACTTACATAGGTGTATCTTTATATAAAATAGTATCTGAAAATGTTTAGAAATTTGATATGTACTGTCCATATCAAGTAGATTACTTACCCTTAAAAATTTACCCATAATCCTTCCATTTTTTTGACATGATATTGTTACGCCTCTGGTCGTTTGTTAATTACCCGTAAAAATTCTTTCGGAAGAACTTCAGTGATACAAGTTCTTTCTTAAATAAAACTAGTTTATTCTTTCTCAATACAACTTTGCAATACACATAATTTCCACAGTCACTTTAACTTAAACACATGCTATAATACACAATGATTTACACACTTTACTTACGGCTTGACTCGATTATCTGTCTCTATCTCCCTGTCTGCTATTCAATTGTCTATGCCGTCACTTCTCGCCGGTCTTATATATACAAAACAGAGGGCGTCTGGCAAACACTCGAGCCTTCAGGAATGTTCGAGATACTCATTACGTGTTACCAGCATCTTGTGACTTCCGCTGTCATAACAATATATTATAATCAACAAGATTTCTTTATCTACAACATTTGTAAATTACAGTTTTTAGCTATTTAATATTAATTGTAACACAGTGATTGTAATTTGTGTTAATTACCAGAAAGCTAAGGATCAGATTTTGACTTAATTTAGAAAAACATGATTTGGCACATTCTGTACATACATTAATATACACATTCTGCTTTTTTACGAATAGATGACCTGATTGGCCTCAGTTAGCTGTGTTCTCAATCTGTTGTCTTTCCATACTCATTGATTTATGTGTGTTAATTTAAGTTAGTTTATTTCTGGTAAAAGGTTTCATACTCATAAAAGAAAAACAATTTGTTGATTTCAGAAATACATTCCAGTAATGAGCAGGCCAATTGTCCTGTCTCGTAAACATCCTGTTCTGTGGACAGCTGTGTATGCCCACCCAGCCGTAAGTTAAACCCATATTTTAATTATTTTCAGGTATAGCATCTATAAAAAAAGGATGTTTTTATCATATTTATTTCAATTAAAAACTTTTTTACGAATTTTTATGGAGATTTATGCAACAACACAAATCTGAAAAATAATAGGCTTACTGTTATAAATCCACCTCTTATGTTAAAAATTAAAACTACAGTCTATTTTTACTATTGAATTCATTTTAGTTTCTACAGTAATAAAAGCAGTATATGCTATTACTAAGCTAATTTGATGCCTAGAAGTGCACATAATCAAATTATCTAAGTCTTGGAAATAAATACCTGTATAATCTGAATAACATAAAGATTAAAGGTGGTAAATTATCTCTAAGTATACTTTTTACATTGAGAGCTTTTATTTCTATAACAAAATTCTTAAATTGTGTTTAAATCATCACAAATATACTTCCAGTATACTCATTGTAGTTTTAAATATAATTTTGAACAAAATCCTTTAAATAGTTTTTAGTGAAGCAGTTCATAATTTAAATCATATTTAAGCACTTTTTTTAAATAACTCAATTCACTCTAAAAATAAAATTATTTAACTTGTAATTTTCTGACACAATGCTAAAAGAAGTTAAAACTCATAATTTTTGATTTTTAAACAATAAAAAAAAATTTCAATTTAGATTTTCTTTAGCTCAACATTTACTGTAACAGACAGAGATCAGTTTTATTTACATTGTCAGAATCTTCATTTTGTATGCTCAAGCATTAGTTATGTGAGCTAAAGTAGATATTATAAATGTATTTTTATGCTGTTTCTTTGGATAAATATTTTTTAGTTTCTTACTGTTTTTTTTTAATTTAGTGCTTTTTGAATAATGTTGCTTGCTACTGTATGTGATTGGTGAAATTTTATTTTCTAACTTTTATTCTGGTTTGAAATTAAATGATCCTCTACTAGACTCAGATGCTCTCAGAGTGGTTGTGGGAAGAGCGAGAGCAATCTATGATGCAAAAAATCCTGATTCGAGAAAAAGAACACCATATGGAGCAGAAAGACTCTCAAATGGTTCAGGATGGGGAAATTTCAAACCAAGCTGACAATAGTGTGTCCCTTTTTAAATTTTCCAACGAACCCCTTACCAAAGTAAAGAAGAAAAAAGTTAGTACCAAAAACTTCACTTGACAAAAACTCTGCTTTTTGCTCTCTCACTACATGCTTCTGCTAAATTTTCTGGTTCTGCACTCTTCATCAAAATTTGGATTTATGTCACCTAGTTCACCCATCAATCAATGGGTGGAGTTTTGTTGTCTGCTGGTTTTACCGGCCCTTATCCTTGTTGCTTTTTTTTGTGTATTCTTTGAAATTTATGGAATGATTGTTTTGCTTTTGGCCAATTGTTCACTTTTAATTGTTAATTAAACACATATTTATTGAAACAAAATTGCTGACTAATTTGTAGAATTATGTATCAGCAAAATTAAAATTCTATAGCTAAGAGATTCAGTACCTACTGTGCTTACTACCTGTGTTTATTTCTTCTAGTAACATTCACTAGAATAGGAGAGTAGTTGTGTTGTGTGATTTTAAAATATTACAAAATGTTGTTAGTGTTTTTAACATCAAGTTATTTTCTTTTTGAAACATAATGGTGATCGAATATTATCTTTCTTTTTCAAAACTTAATTGTCAGTCATAAAGATATTATCACACAGTAGACTAAAAATATCTGCATGAATTTAGAATAAAGCATTTTTTTACAGCCAGTATAAATGTTGTATAAGATAAAAAAATCTCAAACTTTGATTTGTTTTTGAATAGTTATCTTCAGTTCAGACATAAACATTTGAAAATATAAAGTGATATTAAATACGAGTTAAAATTACTTTCATAGTGTTTTGAAAATGAAACTATAAAAGCATGTTTCTGAATTTTTGGGGTTTTAATTTTCATCTGTACCTGTCTGATAAAAATTAAATTTACAATTTGGAGCAGATGAATGACAGTTAAGTTCTGTACATTATACACATCTTATAAGTTTTGATTGAAAAGTATGTAAAGTTATTCTACAAAACTTCAATTTTAGCATCAGTGGTATAGGTGTGTGGTGCTAACACTCACACCACCACAGCGAAGTGAGCATATGTACTCTGAGAAAGTAAAATAGGGCAGGTGGTAAGCAAGTAATTGAACTGTACTAAATTCTATTGAACTGATATTGTTATTTATTATATTATTTATCACATATATATATGTGTTTAAAATCTTTTTTTTATCAACTTTGTGCATGTTTTTCTGTTCTTTGAGATTTATGTCACATTTTGTGGTGTTTCTGTAATTGCTTGTATTTGTGAAGCCAAAGTTGCCTGGTATATTTTTACACACTATAAAGAGATTACATCATCAGGAAATATGGAATGAATAACTTATCTATTTCTAGTTTTATAAGGAAAACTCTTGCTTGATGGTTTCTTCATAATTTTTGAAATGCTTTATATCTTGGGTATATATATATATATATATATATATATATATATATATAT